AGGTCGACCGTCGTCAAGGTTCAGTGCTCGTACCAATCCTCGTTTTCTCGTTCGTTGATGATTGTGTACAGGAATTGGACTGTGTGTGTGCATGTTTTGAAGGTGATGTAAAAATATGGAAGGTTATCAAATGGGCTGCCGACGAAGATGAATCTCAGAATTTTTTCGTCGATCAAACGATTGGTCACGCCGCTGGCTCCTGTCCTTCAATTCGAACAAATGGACACTGCTGCGTCTGGGAACTCGTAATCCGATCCTACTGTCTGAACGGGATCCCACTCAAGTGAGCAGAAACAGAGAAAGATCTCGGTAAGTCGGCTAAAGCTGCAACTTGAATGTTGTACGCCACCAGGCGGGCGTTTACCCTCTGTGATGAAAACTGCTTCTCGAAAATATTCCGTATGTTCATAAGGTCACCTCTTAGAAACGCGATTCAAGGCTGGAGACCATGGATGCGGTAGTGAAATAACGTACTCGAAGTGGAACAGAGGCAAGTCACAACATTAGTGAGAGGCCAAGGCGCACTACTATATGAGTTCCATCTAAATAACCTTAATGTCCATCCTTTGAGTTACAGGCAGTTTCGCGGAGATTTAATACAAAACTTCCGTATCTTGCGTAGCTCCGACGGCGCTCGCGGGTGTGACGACTTTTCTAACTTGCCACTACAACTAATCTCCAGGGCCATCTGTTCAAACTCTATTTGCCCCAAGGACGAGTGAATGCGAGGACGTATGTTTTGTCTCTTACCGGGTCGTGGACCCATAGAATAACCTACCTGGGGCGATTGTTCTCTCAATCTGTGGAAACATTCAAAGATCCACTTAGTATCCATGTGTTGCAGCACAACGTGAAAGATGTGGCTAATTAACCTTGAAACACCTTTAAACCTTGAAACACGATATGACTCTGTCTACTTTTAACTGACCGCAATATTTTTTTACATTGTTTCTAACTCTTTAGACTATGATGAGACAAATAGGGAGTTCATAGGTTCAAGCCTATTTTTTTCCTCAAATGACTGGGTCCTGGACATTAAACGTACAAATGTACAATGCACAACTATATGAATGTATGTGTTTCGCCGATCTAGTAGAGGAACAATTAAGTTCCGCTTTGCCCAGGAGCTCGTAATGCAAACCCTCCAGACCGTCGCCTAGTGACTAAGATGATATGATGAATTGGATCCGACAAAGCAAAGGGACACCGGAATGGCCATTTCGGGATTATTAGCCGTCATCAGCCAGGCATACCCAATCTCGAGGGTTGTCACCCCGAGATTTGAACCCGGGACCTTTAGAAATTGCGTTCAATACGCTACCTCTAGTCTACGGGTCCCTTGCTTTGTCGGTTGTGATCGGGAGTATGATGAATGCAAGTGTTTCGCCGATCTAGTAGAGGAGCAATTAAGTTCCGCTTTGCCCAGGAGCTCGCAACGCAAACCCTCCAGACCGTCGCCTAGTGACTAAGATGATATGATGAATTGGATCCGACAAAGCAAAGGGACACCGGAATGGCCATTTCTGGATTATTAGCCGTCATCAGCCAGTCATACCCAAATTCAGGGTTGGCAGCCCCGAGATTTGAACCCGGGACCTTCGGTGATTGCGTTAGACTGGAATGGCCATTTCTGGATTATTAGCCGTCATCAGCCAGTCATACCCAATCTATACGCGGAGTTTATGTCAGACGAGGAAAATGCAAAATACTCCATTGTAATAAACGGAAATTCGAGAAACCTGTAATGATTTTTGTAGAATGACACAGAATCGCCTATAATGATCATTGTTTTTCAATTAAAGACATGTAGAAGATTATGGCATCACACTTAAGTGGATTCGTTTAAATGAGTTAAATTGCCATATTTGATTAGCAATAATGGTGACCAAAGGTTGTTATGTAAACAAGTCTTGTAAACTAGGAAAAACATCCTGTCTGTGCTTGATTCCATGAGTTTTGCGATCATACGCAGTTCATTTCTTTGGTTAAGTTTCTAATGAACAAGTACACCATA